GGGGCACTTCATTTCCGGCGATATCGTCGCCTTGATTGCACAGATACTATTTAAACTGAACTGAGCTGGATGATGACGTCACTGAATTCAATGATGAACTGCCTTTAACTGAAAAATTAGTGTTTACTATTGTCATTTTGCATTATTGACACACTATTTTCCTAATTAATGCTGTTCAGTTGCTTTGACACAATCTGTATTGTTAAAAGCGCTACATAAATAAAGGTGACTTGACTTGAAAACTTGAAATCGCATCATATGACCCCTTTAATGTCATGTGGGTTGTATCGGTTCACGCTCCTGGTGGCGGAGAAAAACAAAGAAGATGACTTTCAGCGGCGACATGGTAGATGAGTGGAAGAGGTATGCGTGATGTACAATTTTTGTTTTTGTTTTGTTTTATAAAAAGTACTACAAGCTGTTAAAAGTGCATTTTCTTGGTGGCTTTTATACAACGTTTTCTTAGTACCTGGTGATGGCGAAGGGAACCAGCGAAGCTTTCGACACAATTGTATCAGAAAAAGGTTCTTTACTCGAAGCTTTTAAAAACGGTTTATGCTGTGGCCATCTAGTGGTCATAAAATGAACAACACCTTCCAAAAAGTGTTTGTTCCATTCTGTTTTTTTACAGTCTATGGTTCCATTACAGCCACTGGTTTCACATCTGGTTCTACAACTGATTCTTTGTTTTATTATATTTTATATAAATAATGGCCATTGTCAAAGTTTTGGACTGCACTGATTTATAAAGTGTAAATGTCTTAAACGTTTGTTAATACTAATAATAATTAATAATCAGTTTTGTGTAAATGAATGGTGAACAAAATAGCGTTTAGTCTCGTTGTGGTTTTTAAAAGGAATACTTTGTCTAAAAATTTTTATAAAGTCTAATTTACTTGGCCTCATGTCGTCCCTTGGAGCTTAAAATTTCTGGACACCATTTACTTGCATTGCATAGACCTACAGAGCTGAGAAATTATTCTTGAAATGTTTGTACATGTTCAACAAGAGAAATAAAGTCATGCATATCTTTGGATGGCATGGAGAGAGTGTTTTAAATTTGGGTCAACCCTAGTGCTCATTGTGCTTCTTGTGTACCCACCAGGTTATGTTAGGAAGGGCAAGCGAGGTGAGCTTGGAAGCAATGCATCCGGGATTTTGCAGTGTCCACTGCATGCAAGTCTATTGTGCTGAATAAATGATTGTACAAAATTTGATTAATCAGAAATAAAATAATTTACCCACACTGAGATTTCAAATTAATACACTGATTTGTGTAACATGTTCTGAAGAACATTAGTCTGTCATTTGCTGTAATTTGAGTTTTAAAAAATATGCTAAATAAAAAATGTGCAGTACAGGTGAATGGTAACTATACTTTTTCTTAACAGTACTCAGCATTTTCTTTATGTATCACACATATACCTCCTGAGTGCAACTGCATCTCACTTTAATATGTTCCTTGGTAGGCTACTGTAGAAGAATTGTAGAAGTAAAATGTAATATCCAGAAATATGCTTTAATTACTACAGTTAAAGGATTTAAAATGACACCATCACGAAGCATGGCAAAAGATGTAAAGACATGATTTCAATGTTGACAGTGAATGGTATTGGATACAAACAATAATGACAAAACTTTAAGAATAAGACGTGATTTCAACGTTGACAGTGAATGGTATTGTAAACACAATAATGACAAAACTGTAAGAATTTCAGTTTAAACTACTATGAAAATGCGTTATGTTTATATCATTTTTTAAACTACGATGTAATCCAGCCTACTTGCGGCATAAGCTCCTCCCACTTGCTGTTCTTGGCGTAAGCTCCTCCCACTTACAGGTCTCCGGGCTGCAGCGATAACTACTTGGAGAGGCTGCATTCAACACTTTTTGAAAACAAAACATTTATAATCCAAAATATAATATTATTTTTTAAATTATGAACTATAATGACATATATCTGAAATACGAAGCAAAATACACCATACAAATCTCAAATATAATGATTTTTCAAACAAATTATCATACAGTAATCAAAAACAAATGTGATTGGTCCATCCGGATCAGCGCCTAGAAAAGAATCAGATACCACGTGAAAACGTGTTACCGTCTAGCGGTCTAGAGATAATAATCCACACGTTTAAGTACATAACCCTATCCCTAACACTAATACCAATATAATTAAAATAATAGAATTATTGGGCTTCGTACCTGACCAATTAGACACAACTTCTGGACCGCAAAACCCCGCCCGTTTTGAATTTCTGCATTATGACATTTGCCTTTCTACCCACCTATTCTGTTTCTATGGGTGTGACACTATAAAGAATGAGAATGTGACGTAACGCCGCGTTGAGTTCTGGGAAACTGCTTTGTTTATCCGCCATACTTGCAGGATAGCGCTGCCTTTCCGCTATTGAGTTTAGGGCAGTATTTGATTGTTTGTCGTGATTGTGAAAAATGTCACCAGTGTATGTCATTCATACTGCATCGATAATTGCAATAGTAACTCAGATCATCGTTCTGAGAGAAAACTGGACAATGCAATATGTTTTTTTTGCCTTTTCTGTGTGTAAAAACACCAAGGGAAGGAGGTTTCGGAGAAGACGCCGAATAGTAAATCTGTCAATGTCACTGATTAAACCCACTGACTCTCACTCAATAAAAGAATCACATTGCTGTGTGTTTTTGAAAGTTTTGATTTGGTTGGTTTAATAGTTAACATTCTTTGCGAGCACGACTCTCACTCTCACTAGGCTTGTGAATTAGCAGAACTTGAACGGGACTTTCTAAAATGCTTAAAGTGGCTTAATGTACCAAGACAGTGATAAAGACAAAATTGTAAAGCATATACTATGTGCAGATATGCATATAAGATCAAAATGTGAACGCAACGCCTTTATTTACACGTTAAATGCAGTGCATATCATGCAGTGCGATAAAATAGCTTCATTCCCTGCAAACGATACAATGAAGAATGAATGGTTGTTTAACTTAAAGGCAAAAACAAAACAAAAGATAAGCATTTATCCTTATAGAGAATGAGAAGTAACCATGGGAACGGATAGCGTATCCTGCTAATATGGCGGCGTCTTCCCGAAATGCAATGCGGAGTGAAAAGATCGTGACGTAACTCCTCATTCTCTATAGAGGAGGGACCGAAAACAGCAACAGTCTTATACAGTGTTTATTTAGTCTGTTTTTATACATGTGGTATAGATCAGGGATGGGCAACTTGCGGCCCGCGGGCCGTATACGGCCCTCAGTGTCTTTTAGTACGGCCCGCTGGATCGTATTAGACTCGGATGATCAATTTTAAAACATTTGAAAACAAGTCACGTAAAGATTGCTTTCAGTTTATGATGTTAATAATATCTCCAACCAGGAGAGGTCGCTATTTCCAGCCGCTCCCCTATTAATTTCAGCGTAGTAGGACGTGCACTCTAATGTAAACATTCATTAACATTAGCAAATAATTAATGAAAAACTGACCATGAAAACAGTATTTTCAAGTCAATATGGTAAACAGGTTATCTTTTTACCAAGTTCAAGGGGATATCCATATGTTTAGAAATCTGTATTTTATTTAAATCGCCATCACACCACTGCTCACAAACAACGGGGACGCCAGAGTTGCACTTTCCTTAAATTTCAAAGGTAAAATTCATAGTCAACAAAAGCTTTTTGCCAAATGCATGACAGAA